GAATAAACCCTTGGCATTCCATGACTGGTCATCGGTGGTCTCCCTGACCAAGTATTGAAAACGTAAGATCAACCGATCATTTTCAATAGCAGATGGAGCGTGCGTTGCTTGTGGCTTCGTAAGAATTACTCGGTCAGTTCGTACGAGGCCTTCCGTTCTGGGCAGGCTGGATAATGGGGGGTCGTCTGCAGCGTCCGCTCGTGTACAAAATATGGCCTTTAGAATGGGATTTAGTAGACGGCTTTGGAGGCGCTCCAAGATTGTTGGAATCAGCCTGAGCTACAACGGGTGGCGTAATCCAGCCCTCAAAAAATTCGATGGAGTTTAATTTTAGCTGCAAATACAACATACGTTTAGAATTTTTCCATAATCATGATGGGAAGCTCATATTTTCAATAAAACGTTTTCACGCGCCATAAAATCAGAGTTTTTCTTGATTTCGTAAGATTCAGATGAAAAAAATACGATGGAGCTAAAATTTTCACCCCAATCAAAAAAGGATCACTGCAACTGTGAGCAAACTATCTCTCTAATTACACGGAGTTAAGTTTTGGCGGATTTGAATAAACTCAGCATAATATTTTTCAAGCCCAATTGTCTGCAGCGGGTGACTGCCATTTCTTGCCTGCAATTTACTGGTGGAAAATTGTTATGCATTCCTACACGAATTCTCTTGATTCACTTTCTCGAGACGCATAAAAGGCAACTTTTTGAGGACACTGAACGTACAGTGAGACACATAAATATCCATCAAGAATCATTCGTTCGTCGCTTGCGCTCTGAGCACAAAACGCCAGCTTTTACAGTCAATGCTAACATTCACCGCTCCTAAAGTTGATGTAGGTGCAAGTCATTTCATTGTAAAATTTCAAAATTTGTCTCAAATTGTTACATCTAAAATTGAAAGGCAAAAAAAAAAGAGACGGAATTTGAATAGCGTCCAATACTGTGTCCAAAATCCGATGGTGCATTTACGAAAACTTTTTTAGCTTAACCGTAGTTGCCGGAACAAAAAGTAAAGAAAAATTGTGCACGTCAATTATATTTTCGAACGTAAGAAAACATAAAATAATGAACCATTTTAATTGCTAATTTTGCACTGTTGACCACAAAGCAAAAAAGAAGTTAACGAAAGAGACCTCGATAGAAAAATTTACGCTCACGTAGAGGGAAGCTCACGAAAAGATAAAAAAATTGTGCGAAAATCGACAAAGTCAACTCAGTTTAAGCAGCTATATGTTCCAGAAGCCTAAGGCTGTAGGAGGTGCAAGATATGCAGCGTCAGCCCTAAGCTGCAGTCTGGCGGCAATTGCAGAACCTAAGCGCCTGTAAGAAGGATCATCCAGGATCCTAAGTCGATCACTGGAAGCAGATCTTGCAAGATCGCTGCCGGGAAATTGATATCGTACAACCTGTTCTACCCATAAGATTTGGCAAGACCTAAAGACCTAGTTGAGAACTTTATTTTGGCAGTGAGCCAAGAGTGTTGTGGTTCAGCGATATCAATTTTCTATCGTAAAATGACTTTGTTTTAATTACGAACCTCAAACATGACAGTTAATATAAATAACCTGTTCACGACTTGTGAATCATACGCTTGCCATGAGAATCATCGAATTACTGATATTCTATTAAAATACACAAAATAGGAGCAACAAAAAAAAAGGCAAAAAAATCAAACGAAAAAAAGACTAGCTTTCTCATTGAGTTCATGAGAGAATAATATAATGTAAATTTTTCGAAATAGCCACTATATAAATGAAAATATTCACCCAAGTATCAAAGATATTTTAATTGGTGGAAATTCGATCACATTGCGATGTTGCTACCCGAATGGATAAGTAATAAACCAGCGATTGTCATATACGATTTATTTAATAACATGACACGCTCTCGGTGACTCCAGTAGAAAGGCTACGACATATGATAATAATAATGGTTATTATGATACATCTTCTCAAGCGAAGTAGAAACAAATTGAAGTTATTGACGTCATCATTCTTCCGTTAACATGTACATTATTCAACGTTAATATGTACATTATTTACAGCTATTTACTTAATAAGCAGTCCACCGCACATATCGCGAATTATAGAAACAATACAAATTTTTATCATAAAAGATGAATTCCTTAAATTAGCAGCACGTGCACGAGAGAAACGATTTTTGAGTCTACGTTTTTGCTTTTCTTTTAATTTTGTCCAAGCTTCGAATTTTTACTCTTGAAACGAATTTGATCAGAATAGAAAACTTGAGAACGAGGGTCCATTCTCACAGCTGATATTTCTTCCCTAAATAATTTCTATGATAGAATGTGACGTCTAGAGACCATGAAGAATGTTTTGATAAATTCATTTTGACGATTTCGACTGAACATATTGGGACCATGTGATGCTCAACCTTCCCATTAAGCTTGGTCAAGCCTTTTGTGTTATTAAACTTGGATGGCACTGAGAAATATCTCAGCATTGTTACCTATTCATCAAGATAAATATAATACCAGGTATGTGGCAAATATTCGAGACTCGCATCAAAAATTTTATTTCATGAAACCTTATAACCAGAGAACGCAATACATGTCGACATTTACGTTCTGCATAAAACGGACATGATCATTGGATGAAAAGTTTTTTGCTATTCAAATTGTTAAGAATACAAAAGGTTTTCCAGCATTGTTTAAGGAATCTAAAAACTACAAATTAATTTATAATGGCATTAAATGAAATTTATCGATAGGTGAGGCATTTAGTACGAGCACAGCAAACTGAGATGTCTCAAATTTTGTTTTAAATACATTGAAGTATCGCTTAAATTATTACATAATTAAAGCACAATAGGTTCAATTTCTTAACTGATAATCCCGTTAAAACCTCAGGACATTAATTCCCTTGTTATCTGACAACATCCAAATGATCCAATTTTTAGCACCATAGGAGTAGTCGTTTTCATAAAAATGAATTTACACACTTCTCAAAACTCATTAAATGTAAGGTTGCTTCTCAAATCAAAACAACACATTTGCTTACCTCTTCTCATATGCCTAGAGTAAATTCTATCAAACATGAAATGTATTTAATAAATTCCAGTCGTTTAATTTCATTAAATTGCACACGCACAGCTCGCGTAACACACGATTCATTTGTTCTATTATATTAGAACTATTATATAGTTCTATTCATAAGAGTTACGAAACGACGCCAGAGCGCGCAGTCTCGGTACGCTGGTGTCCGCACGCGGGTAGCAGCAAAGCAAAGCGTCCGCAGTGGCAGCTTCAAAGCACCGAGTCGTCTGGCGTGCAGTGCGGTAATTTAAATATTCCATTCAAGTGCAGCGATATAGCAGTAGAAGCGGTGAGCTTCATCATATCAACAAAGCATGGCATGCCAACAGAATTATTTATACCACGCACAAATGGGATACAATGAAAATGGACGAGACAAACGCGGCAATGTTCAGGGAAGCTTATATTAATTGCGACGGCCATGTTATGAATGGTTTATAAATTTGGGCAGTAATTTCTGGAGAAATTATAACCTGAGTTTTACGACTGCATAGGCACGTTTTTAGTCGGAGTGATGTTCAATTTGCTTCTAAGAAGAAATCTAATCCATTAAAGTTATTAGAAAAAATTATAGAAGAGAATCACCCGGCAGAAGCCATGCCGGATTCTACCCTAACCGAATAAAAAAATGATAGATTAATAGTGACAGCTTGAGATCAACAAAGAGTTAAATTAAAACAATTAGAGGACATTATTCATATACATAGAAAAGTCGCGATGAGAAAAGTTAAAAAACACAAATGGAAACAGTAGTTCAGTGAAGTCACCATCACAAATTGATTTCTATTTTAGGGTGATCATTATTCTACAATTAATTGCAAAGAATGGCTGCTTGACGGACGTACATTGCAAAATATTGAGGACGAAATTCTTTGGCCGATGGCAGCGGACAACAAGCGAGCAAAATATCTACAATTATATTTTAAATGCATTACAATGGATATAATCGAGTGCTCCGTATAACTGGTTCTGAGGATTTTTCCTTCGCCGAGTGATTGGCAACAGATCAGGTCGCAGATAAAAAACAACGCGAGGCCTGAATTGACGGACATTAATTATCAGCCAAAAGGAAGTACCAAAAATTAAGTAACCATTCAATCCGACTGAGGATAATATGGATCATGTCAATCCGACTGAGGATAATATGGAAAAAGTTATGGAACGAGCCCATTTATACGTAATATGAACAGCTAAAATATATACCTGCACAGTACAACACGAACGATTATATTGAGGAACAACCAATTTAATGTTTAGATACCAAAATATCGCCGATCTCTAGCACTCAACTGAAGGCTGAATATTCAACGGTGATTTCCGTTCTTCAATCGTGCTGTCGTGTGAGTTATTTAAAAAAAATAATGCCAAGATTGAAGTCAGTGCAATTTTATTGGACAGAACGAAACATTGAATGGAGTGATACCGTAACAATATATTTCAATGCACGCAATTTCCCTCAAGTAGTAAAAGCCTATTCATCTAAAATTGTTTATAAAAGAAAATAGTTAATTTTCCTAGTTATCGCACATGACATTTTGTTTTATTAATCTTTATTTGAAAATTCAAAAGATGGATAAGCTCGGCACAGGCTAAATGCATTATTCTAAAAGCATCCATACATCGCAAGAATTTCTCTTCGATGTAACTGCATTTTGATCCTCAATCCGCGTGTATTTTCTTAATGAAAAAAACACTAGGGATAATGGCCTACAATTTTTCATGCGAAAACGGCTAATGAATTCAATATTCACAAGACAATTAATGACTAGAAACCACCTAATGCCTACAATAATTCATCTTTTCATAGTTTATTAATATCATCTTGCTTAATTTGTTCATGAGAATAAAAACTGACAGTGGAATAATTTTGCTGTCAACGATTTACTTATTTTTTTTTTTAAATCAACATGAAATTAGAGAAACAAGAAATGATCCAGAAACTGCCGCAACAACATCAAGAAATCCAAGATAGATAGATATTCAAAACTAATGATTATAAAAACATCGCATATAATATCACTCATGAGTTTGATTACTCGTAATCTAACTGCACACCACTCAATGAAGATTATAATATATTACTCAATGAAGTTCCAAAGCATTTATTTATACGTTGATCACTGTAACTCAGAGCCGGATTCATGACTAATATTGCCGAGGAATTTTTTCAAAACACTTTTCTCACTTTAATCTTCGCAAAGTTTATATAGAAAATATTAGAGGTTCTACATTCGATGAAATTAAAGATTTACGAAGAGAAAACTATTGGAAAGACACAGCACATACATTAAAAAACTCTTGTCTTAAACGATATTTTTGCGTGCATCTTCTGGGAGTTCATACTGCGGTCATAAGACGATGGTGTTGCTGGAGTTCGGAAGAGGTTGCGGGGGGCGAGGCGCCCTCACAGGGTGCAAAGACCCATTGGCAGGGGGCAAGGGCGGTGGTACGGAGATCGCTCCATTGGGGAGACGTTGGGGAAAAAATCTCCAGGGCTGCATGTCCCCTTCAGACGTGCTAGGAGTGCTGTACACGTCACCTCCTAAAGTGTCATTAACGTCGGCGTTGACATCTTCGTCTTCGGTGGTCATCTCTTCACCGTTGGCCATTAAAGAAGCAGGCTTTGAATAATGCGGGGCCAGTTGACTGAGGCCCTTCAAGTCAGACTTGGATATCGCGCAAGAAGACGAGGGATTCAAGGAATGCGAGTGGAATTGGTGAGAGAAAGCTTTTATGTCGCCACCCAAAGAAGCAGATGTATTCATTAAAGTCGAGTGGTATCCTTGGTTCAATCTCTTCAGATCCGCACCCACCGACGCTGAATTATGCAGGAATGACGACGCTGGAATGTGATTGGAAAGCTGGAAGTCGTGAACTGTAGGGACCAAAGTTTGGTTTAGGGAGGAAAAAGGTTGCTGAGTTAGGCCCAGTAAATATTCTACCAGAAGCGCTGCTCGCGGGCGATGCTGCGGGTTGATGGCCCAGCAGAAAGCCATAAGTTGGTACAGAACATCTGGACACGTGGCAGGCTGAGCCAAGCGGTAGCCGTCCCTCAGGTAGTCTGGCAGCAGCGACAGTGACAAATCTTGGTACGGCTGCTGGGCCAGAGTACTGAGCTCCCATGCCAGGACTCCCCAAGACCACTGCCAGAATATGAGTTCCAAAGCATGTTTAATGAGTCAGTGAAATCAAGTAACATAAATAACTTCAAATTATGAGCGTATGAACTACATCTCACGCAAATCTTAACATAAGACCACTTCGGCTTAAGCCTGAAAATAATTAGGCCTAAGTTTTATGATCAATCATGGGAATGAAACTAAAAAGAACTTATCTCAGTTACTGATAACTTAAACGACCCGGTTATATTGAAGAAGAAGCAATTTACGCTTTAAGACCAGAATCACGCTTTTAAAAAGACTGACCACATCAGCTGGCTGTGAAGTGACGCCTTCAGTGATGGCCTCGAGCGCCATCCACGCCACGGGCCGAACGATGGCGGCAGCGTCGCCGTTGGACGTGACCGGGGCGAGCACGTGATAGTCCTCAGGGAAGAGGTCGTCAGACAAGGCGGAATCTGCTACACGCAGCTGCAGCTGATCCGTGATGCTGAGGCAAAGAAAAAAACAGATTTAAAGTACTTTTTACTGCATGGTCATGAAAATAATAGATTTGCATGCAGATGAAGCTGGTCCGTGATGTTGAGGCAAAGAAAAACAAACATTTAACGTATTTCATAACGCAAGATCAATAAAATAATTTATCTACACGCAGCTGCATCTAGTTCAGGATGCTGCGGCAAAGAAGAATAAAAAAGGCTACGTATTTTATACCGCCCGCTTATGAAGATAAGTAAAAGGAGTCCGACCGATGAATTCGAATAATGTTATCAGGACCAGTGACCCCCAGAACTGCTTCAAATATCTAGGCAAAAGTTTTTTTAAAAGATTAATCGGTTAAAAATTCATGAAATACAACCGCATAAATACACCTAACAGAAAATAACTGAAAACTTTTCCATGGGCCCAGTTACTAGATTTATCTTATTTTTAAGATTCATGTCAAAAAGATGATATGAGAAAACCAAGCTGATTTCAAATTAAAAATCTAAAAATTATTCCATTTCATCCAAGATGCGCGTGAGCAACGGAAGATTATCAAATTAAAGCTATCAACATCAATATATAATATTTATTTTTTCAATCTGAACGTAGAAATATTTTCAACTGAACAGCAAATAAAATATATCTATGCAAATGTAAGCGGGAAACTAAACCTTTAAACTTTTGAAGTAAACATCTTCAAAACTTTCAGAACTAAGTATTGATCAGGAAGACTGAATTTGAACGAAGATCTCCGAACAAGCATTACACTAACTCGTATGAAAAATTGTTACATTAAAAATATCCAAAAACTACAAACGTGAGTTATGTTGAATCTAGAATAAAAAATTCTATATAAACCACGGCACTAGACAAGGAAAGAATAGATGATATCCAGACAAGAAAAAACTCTCCACGCAAGTGAGGGGAGCGCAGTAGCGAGCGAACAACATGGAAATGAGCACTGGAAGGAGATGGGCCTGGAAATCGAATTAGGCTGAGAAGTACAAGTTCAAAGGAACATTGTAAGAAAGTTGGCTCGTTCACCGACGCACGCCTAGACCAATGCGCTGCTCAGGAAATACGCTTCACTGAGAAAATTTACAAATTGGAGGTCTAGTATCGTGCTCGCATGCAGAAATTTCAAATTTAGATGCAGACATGATTTTTCAGCAATAATTGGCAACGAGTTTTATACAAGCTATTTTCTACGAAGAAAATAATTACCTTTAGGAATATAAAATACTTGTTTATGTCAAATGATGTAAAATATTTATTTAGGTCAAATAAACTTGTAGAATTTTCAAGCAATAAGCGTTTTTATTCCTTTGGAAATTGAAAAGAATTTGCAAAAGCGAGAAAGTAGCCTTTAAGGAGATGGAAGCTTTTTATAAATATCTCAAGACATTGAAGCAATAAGACCAGTTTTCTGATATGGTGTACATCTTCACCCTTCATAAGAAATGCTCGATGCATTAATGGAACGAATAAAATTATTTCATATAAGAGCCACTCACAAGCAGTTGCGTGCAGCAAAATCAGAGTGCAGGATGTTGCAGGAGTGCAGGAAGGCCAGAGCCTGCGCCGCCTGCAGTGCCACCTGCTGCAGGTCCCCAGGAGTTAGGTGCACTGATCTGCTCTTCAGAAACCTGCACAATAACCAAAATGTTCCTGATAATTTTAGATTTCTGACTCGAAAGACTTTAGATTTCTGACTCGAATTCTTGGTCTAAGTTTGGGCTATACTTTGATTAACAATACGTGGTGTATTTGGACTTCGCGAAAGCGTTTGACAAAGTCGACCATGGGGTGCTCTTCAGAAAATTAAGACTGCTGGGAGTCGGAGGTGAATTGCTGGCATGGATCCACAGCTTCCTAACAGAAAGACTACAAGCTGTAGTTGTTGGAGGCTCGAGATCGAGCGTGGCTAAGGTGAAGAGTGGAGTACCACAGGGAACGGTACTCGGCCCAATCCTTTTCCTCATCCACATCGCCGACATAGATGTGGCAGTGAACCACGCCACTGCATCGTCATTCGCGGACGACACCAGGATATTAATGAACATCACAGACAGGACGGACAGTGAGAGGTTACAAGAAGACCTCTCTGCAATATATGACTGGGCCCTAGTGAACAACATGCAGTTCAACGTGACCAAGTTTGAGGTCCTGAGGTACAGAGGAACCGGAAGAGCTGGAATGGATCACCGCTACCTGGCACCTGACAACTCGGAAATCGAAGAGAAGCGACTCGTTCGCGATCTAGGAGTGTTGATGAACAATCAGGTCAATTTTGGTGATCACATACCGGCAATAACCGCAAAAGGTAGACAACAGATGGGGTGGATCTGGCGGACGTTCAGAACGAGAGAAGCGGAACCGATGATCACACTCTTCAGAGCCCTTGTAATACCTATCCTTGAATACTGCTGCCAGCTCTGGACTCCGTTCACACTAGGCGCAATACGGCAACTGGAAGGAGTCCAACGAACCTTTACTTCCAGGATCAGAGGGATGGAGAATTTTAACTACTGGGAGAGGTTACAGCAACTGAGTCTGTACTCACTGCAGAGGAGACGGGAGAGGTATGTCATTCTGTACACATGGAAAATGATAACCGGAATGGTGCCAAACTTCGAGAGCGAGACCTTCAAGATTCAGACATATCACAACGAGAGAAGGGGGAGACTGTGCAAGATCCCTCCCCTGCGTAACAGATCCGCAGTCAGATTTCAATCCCTGCGAGAAGGATCACTCTCCGTGGCAGGACCAAGGCTGTTCAACGCCCTACCAAGGGATCTAAGAGAGGGGGAGTTCGTGTTCCTGAGCACAATCCCAGATCGACCTCCCCTGCAACACTACCAGCGGCGAGAAGCAAGCAACAGCATCGTGCATCAGGTGGCCCAAATGAGGGCGGATGAACGATAATCAGAGGCGGCGATCCATCGTGGCCTGGGACTGCTATGTCCCAAACAAATACTAAGGATACTAAGGAATATAGCGCTCTTTAGTGGGTACGGTCGTATAAATACTTGTCGCAATTTTATCCCTTAAAACTTGCTATAAAAGAATCAAAGCACCTGCAAACACTATTTAAGTACAAAATGAGACGTGGACGAACATTCTTATAAACACCGATCCTATAATAATAATTTTTTACGATGCTTTCGAACAGGAACATAAATTAGAAAAAGCTAAGTTTACCAATTATCAAAAATAAAGATAATTGCTCCTAAAAAAGTAGATATATATCCTTTAATTCATGCATATCCCAGCTGGTCAGTAGCACAAGAACTGTCAATTGTAGGAAAATTATGTGTGTCTATTCTAAGAAAATTATTACAAGTTTCGGCATAACACGCTTTATTGTTCAACAAAGACTGGTGTCACCTTAAATTACGACAGATAATAATCCATAAAAAACAAGTCATAACATCGCGTTTTTCATTATTGCTACATCACCACAGTTGATGAACCTATTTTAGCAGCATGAGTTAAGGAACAGCTCAATTTGTCCGCCTCATGCTCACAAAACCACCATCAAAAGAACTCTCTTTGGCTCTTGACAAGCCAGGATTATCAACAAATCCCAGAGAATTGCCAAGAATGCGCGGGCCATTAACACGACGCTTTCGTCTTCTTCTTCTGATACGAGGCTCACAAAACCTAAAACAAATCTCTGAGAGCTCTCGTCGCTCGACCTCATCATAAATCCATTTGCCGCCATTAGAGCTGAGGCCAGCCGTGCCGCACAACAGTGGCAGCTTGATTCTTAGATAACGCGCCTACTAATACTGCAGAATATCTCAGGCCTTAGACTGAGATGAAGTACGTATTTTGGCTGACACTTCCAGCAAGATTTTATTGCTAAGAAAATGAAAACTAAAGTTATTGTATTCATACAGTGAAGTGAAAAAACCCAATGAGCCCCAACAGTGGCCCGAACAATCAAATGAATCTACACACATACGTACATTTACCGTATTATATTCATAGCTGGAAGTGTTCTTATAACATGTTGTTCCGATCGTCTGAGCCAAAGATTGGGGGTAACTAAATTTTGACGGTTGCACAAAGATAAACAATCTCATACTAAACGCACAAAATTAATTTTATGTAGCAAATACAAGAAAGTTAGCATTTTTTCTGAGTTTAGAGGACACGACATAGCGAATCTTATTAAAATCATGTATAAATTCTCAGGGAGGACTTTACGCTCATAATTCTTTCATACTCATAAAAATAAATAACTTGACATAAAGTAATTCAAAATAACTGGACAGAAAATAACTGGACAGAAAGTAATTCAAATGCAATACACAACCTACAGATTAATAAGCAAACTCGCAAAAGCAGGTTTCATTTTCCAGCATTTTATTGGCGCTGATCGCCCCCGTGCATCCAATTGCCCGAGATCAAGCAGGCGTAAGTGCTGCTCGGTCCTAGGGATCCGCAAGCCGTCGCTCGATCGACAAGCTTCAGCGAGAGGATGGATAGCGTCTAGAGCGAGAGCCTTGCCTTGATGCGTGCCACAGAAATCTTATTGACGTGATAATGGAGCTTCAAAGCTCCCCCGAGAAATTGCGCTACGATTCCGCATTACAGGCAAGTGGAGCGCGCCCGTCGTACTCATGTAACCATAGAAATAAAATAACTTCGCTTCTGCTGCTGACAGCCCGGGATTGCGGGGCGACACGAAGCTGATGGTATGTGCAGGGGTTTTTAGTGCGACGTGTGAAAAACATGTCGAGATCAAATAATAAATAAGCAATAGATCGAATTTCGAGAAATTATTGCAGAAATGTTACAATTTGAGTGAAATGAACACTTGGAAACACTAAGCAAAGGTCGAACGCTTGAAAACTGCCTAGGGAAAATCTGATGCGGCTAAACGAAAGATAGAGTCGAATTGAGATAGGTAAAATAATACTGCATTTAACGTATCGATTGAATTCCAGGGCTGCATTTTATATATGAACCCAAAAGTTTTGTTAATAAGTCTTCTCTATAGCAAACAATGTGGAAAACGATAGATAGCAACATTTACAAAATACTTATTGAAGATGATCATTATAGCCTCACCATGTACGCATTTTCAAACTTATCGTCTATAAATGATCAGTAAGCTAAATTTTTTCAGTTTAAATGGTAGACCAGTTAATGAATAAGAAATTTGAACTATTCTTGGTTACCCAGGTGTATTTTTGCTGGATTTATGAGCATCAGAAATAGGGTGCTGATGTCACGCCATTCAAATCACGAATTTATATCGACGAAATAACGTTAATAAACGTTTTTCAAACATCAGATGCCTGGTGTGGTGGGCAAACGAAATTCCAAAACAGTAATTAATTTTACCAACAAAGATTTTTGTTAAATATCCACTCACAATTTGAGGTTATGGAAGGCAATGTCGGGGAAGATGACAAGTGGAGGAGCGGAGGCTGCGAGGGACACGGCGGCCATGGAGAGCACAGCTCTGTGCTGCACGTTAGCCAGCCGCGCCACCTCCCTGCACAGCTGTCGTACCTGCTGCTGTCCTGCACTGCACTGCACTGTCTTCACCAGCACCTGCACCGCAAATACCGCACCACTTATTATATTTTGTATAGATTCTGTATATATATACTTTTTATAAATATAAATTTTAAGAAATGTTTACACATATGTCAATCAAATTTATGGACACTCGTACAGCACTCGCACATATGTAAATAAAATCAAAGGGGAGAGGCTTTTTGGAAATAAATACTGAAACCAATTGATCGATTTTTACAGGCCTCTGCGGATGTAAAAAATAAAATAGTATACTTTTACATTGCTGTAAATTTTAACAGATAGTATAGCATCGCCAAAAGAATATATACATTACCCGCTGCAGTACGACAATGTTCTCGTACTTACAATTTTAAAGTGAGAGCAAATAATTAACTTTTCATTTCATAATTTAGCAACATGATGAAAAAATAGTCCCAGTTTTTATAGTTTCTTTAAGAAATTTCCTTCCCAAAGAAATTATAAAACCATTAAGTTCCCTTCAGTTGTAGCCTGAACTTGACTCGATCGAAATGTATAAACCCCGATCGAACGCTTGCAAATGGAATTGCTAAATTGCAAGAAGATATATGGAAAAGTGCATGCCATTGTTGTTTCATGTTTCAACAAACTTTATTGAAAGGATGTTATCGCTAACGCAGCAACTATCAATCTAACAATAATACAAAAATATATACAAAAAATATTCACGCATTCACTCGAATCATTCGTGATAGGCAAACTTTATTGTCTTCATATGAAATTATGATCACAACCAAGACATTACTGAGTTTCGCTTCATCATCAAATAAAACATTCGACTAAACACGGTGAAGTGCACGTGTGATGTATTCACGATATAATGTATCATCCAGTAAGTCAACAGCAATCTTGAAGAAACGTATCATATTATTAAGGAAGGCGGCTGCGTTGGGCATGACAGCTACAATCGATTAGGGGCAACGGGACGTTAATTGCGTCAGCTAATTGCCGTGGCAGAAACAGATGGAGCGCTCCGTGGAGTTTTCTTCTCTTAAGAGCATCGTCACTGGGGATTGTCGGCCACACATTGACATTAATGAAGAAATCTACAGCAGACTGCGTAGAAATATGGGATTGTCATAATTTATCATTATGTTTTTTGTTGTTGGGTGGATGAAAAATCAAGAACCGACACTTCTATGTTCATCTTGCTCCTTCTTCCGTTTGTTGATTTGATATAATGAAAAAAATACTGCAGACTCGGATGAAATGCTGTATTTAGGAATCAATATAGTAATTATACAGAAGGCTTTCCCGTGTTCATTGATGCTGAGTTCCGAACAATAACTTCAACGGCCCATGCATTTCCCCTTGTGACTAATTAATCTAAACAATCAAAAAAATTTAAAAGCGTACACTACTCATTTAACGTCAAAACATACAAAACGCTATTACCGGGGCTTTAGTACACATATACTTCCAATAATTTTATTCAGATCTGAATAAGTTTATATAATATGCTTGCTCTCGGGTAGCGTAGCGTAAATCTGGAAATGTTTCTGAAAAATTTAGCATAAGTTTGCAATGTGTTTTATCTTAAGAAGCAACTCCCTCGTATATTTCTCCTACATAACTAAGCAGCACTTGCCTGAGTGTCAGGATGAGGGGAGTCCGCCTGGATGCAACCGCGGTACAGTCGCCCGTAGCGGCCCTCCAGCAGCACGCATGTCAGACGCACGCGTCGTCTGTCAACCTGCGCGTGCAACATACATTTTTTTTGTGAACATACATTTACAAGCGAATGAATGGGTAGATGCAACAATATAAAATAATATGTGGGTATGGTTGAACCCTATTTACCGCGCAAGCTTCGGCGATTTCTGTATTTTTTTATCACAACATCGCAAATACGACCAAGCACAGCACATCTATCACAGAAAATTTGCACGATGCCGCTGCATACATTTAGACCTCGTACTGCTATTAACTCATTTTGCTCTCTTGTCGTACTTATCTACGCAGATCGGCAGCTCTGTTCACAAACACAACTCGTGTATCTCTGTATCTCATGAATCCATATGCTTTTGCGACTTCCGCATCTACTGATGCCCGATGCTCTACATTTCTGCGTCTAGTAGACTGCTCAGCTCTGGTGACTTCCGCATCTACTGATGCCGAATGCTCTGCCATTTCTGCGCCTCGTAGCATGCTGTGCTCTTGCCATTTCTGCGCCTACGGATCCCCACAGCACAATTCTCCCAATTTAGTAGAGACGTCTCAGCAATAAATTTGCCACGCAGCTCTTGGATACGACGCAGTCTTGCTTGCCCGTACCAAACGGGTACGGCTCTTATTGGACCTATTTTCAAGAAAACCTATCAAAATAGAGCATTTATTTGAACTCGTGCAGTATGTAGATATGACGCGGTCATACGCTTAACACTATTTCATGTAAATGGGTCATTAATATAAAAACGGATACACCCAAGTAGAATATTTTGTCCACGTGTCCATAAATGCAGTTATATGGACCACATGTCCATGGACATGAACACATGTTCATGTCCTTTTGGCAGCGTGAGATAAATGAAAATAAATCTTCAATACAAAAGAAACACGAATTTATAAAGTACATTCGAAAATCTGAAGACCTATTTGAAAATAATTGAACAATTCAGCGTCAAGTGTGGTACCGGACAAAAAAGGAATTAAGTAATAAGTCTTGGCAAAATGTAAAAATTAATCACACATGTTTTCAGATTTGAGCAAGAATGCGTTGAGAATATACGGATCATGTGCAAAGAATGCGTGAACAATAAATGTACTGTTCCGATGAGAAAGCTGTGAATGAAATCAAGATAAGCATTGATATTTGCTAATCGGAAGCGTTTATACTGTTCTCGGTCATATGTAGGCCAGCTCACAGATTTAACGCAAACTAAGAATTAAGTCAGATAACAGTTATTTTAATTACATAAGAACTTGACAAACCACACACTAGTGCCCATATGCGTGGCTGTGAGTGGAAGAAGGCGGTGTATGCAGGCTCCTCGAGCCATGCGAATAAAAGACGTGAGAGTCTCTCGGCCAGATACTCTACGGAGCTTCTAACTTTTAAGAGATTTTTTATGAAAATTCATAACTCGCTGAATTCCTAAACCGCATGCAAACATCAAGTATTTTAATAACACTACCGTCTTCCAGTAAAAAAAGCGATACGTTTGTGGAAATACTCATATGGACAGGACCGTTATTTTTATTTTTTAGGCCATTTCGTATGGTACCAAAATGCAAAAATAAGCTTTCAAAGGAGTCCCAGCTACCATATCCCAATTTAATAATTAATAAAAAGGTAAAAAGAATTTTAAAAATCTGAAAAGTCATTGCTTATAAATATTGTTTAACAGCACAGTTTGACTGAGTAGAATAAAGTACATGAATGAAGGAGAATGCCTGCAAGATGCAAAAATAAGTCTCATAAAAACAGTTTATAGTTTCGATAAAAAAAATTATCTCGTGCATTTTAAACACCCGCAGTTTTCAGTGATCAGAACCAACACCCTCAGTGTTCGTTAATGCATCCTAAAGCGTCCTAGAGCAGCAAAGGTCTCTGAACGTTCCCTTCATAAATTTCCCTCATGACACAAAGGGAAATTTTCCGGCAGTTGCTCAGCGTGCATAAATTCTTGCTCGGTGGCTCGTGTGGAGCAGAGCACTCGAATGTTTCGAGCGCTCATCCATCTCTCGCGTCCGTCAAGCCTACAATAATTTAAGTCGAGGCGGCGACCTCATAAAATAAGCTATTTGTGCTGCTCCTCTTCGACGCCTCTACAGCTCGCGTGAGAGCCCGGCGGAAGCTGTCACTTCTCTGCCCTATTGGAGCTGTACAGACAATTGCCGACACACAACCAGACAGGAATTAATGTTCTTGTCGTGTTTTTATGTTCCTCAATAGTTGCGGCAGATAAAATAAACGCATTCATTACTCATGAATGTATTTAACATAAATAGCAGTGTCAACGAAATCGAGCTATGTGGTTTGCTGTTTATAGCCATTAGGCTGTAAGCGAGAAAATAAGAACAAGAATATTAAAAGATGACACGGAAAAATGAGTTCATGAACAGATTATCTGAATCGATACAGAATACACGCTGATTCCCGAAAATAAGGAAGAAAGCGAACCAAGCCATGAATGCAAAAAAATTAGGAAAAATTTAACCCACACCGGCAGTAAAATGCGAAAATGTAACAAAAATGCGATCACGGATGCACAAGAGCAAAATCTTTCTCATAAAACAAACCAGAAAATGATCGACCCTCGGAAAAAAATGTAACTTTTGCGTCGCCACATCACATCAGCTATTGATGTCACTCACCTGGAGGTGCTTGAAGTTCTCCTGCATCTGCGCCATGCAAGGGTCGACGAGAAGCTCGCGTTTATTTATCGTACTGTTGCGACTGCCGCCAGACGCCGTCGTGGTGAGTGTGCAGTTTTTGGAGCCTCCCAGAGATCCTGTGGTCGTGGGCCGGAAAGTTGGGAGGCTGCAGTCACGAGCCAAAGATCCGGAGATCTTTGGCCCAGAGATGCTTGCCGGGTGAGACAGAGATGCCGTTGACATAGGTCCGTATGTTAGGGAGGCAACCGAAGTACTTCCAGCGGGCGTCGACAGTGACGCCGCAGAGGCATTGTGCTCGCGTACAGACGTTGAGGAGGAAGAGTTCCTCGGCAGTGTTTGGGTCGGTGGATGAGGCAATGTTTGCGTGGGGCTAACAGGCAGCTGCGTAAGAGACGCATAACAGTTGCTCGTTACTGACGAGGGAAGTGTGTAGGTGTGTGTGGATGGAGTGTATGTGTGGTTGGTTGGTGTGTAAACGTTGTTTGATAGGGGCGATAGCAGGGAAGAAGTGGTGCCCACTCGCGATTTCTGGTCGCTTCCGCAGTTGGACCTGCGGTGCGAGATTAGAATTGACGTTTGGTTGCCAGAGAACGCTCAACTGCGACAAAGCCCTTATATCACGTGACATATGAACAACAGAGAAAAGGAAATGTTAAACCCAAAAAGGAAGTTCGAATGAAACTCAAGAGAAGATCGATTTTAGTCAAATTAACGATTCTTCAGCTTTTACCGTAGAGGTACAAGCTACTGAATCCAGTAAAAGCAACAACATAAGCTATATAATCGTAAACTCTTCACATGTTCTCAGATAAAAATCAGCGCATAACCTTCACCCCCAAAATTCGCTCAAAAAATCGTTCGAAAACCTCGCGGACCAAGTAAAGAAACATTCGATTAAAATAAAATAGAAATACAGAGCTGCGTCCAGCCGCCAAACTAACGTAAGGGTGCAGTGGTCGCGCTGCCTCTTCTCCCTGACGCGTCGCCTCACGAAGGCGGCGCCCAGGAGGCTGAGCACCACCATCAGGAGAGCCCCGGCGCCGCACAGGCCGTAGTACAGCGCTGGGGATACCAGGGCGGGGGGATCCTCCTGGGGGTCTTGGTGTGGGGCGTACGCACCAGAAGACTGACCTGGAATGACGCGCAGCAAGAATGTCAGAATCAGGCAGTGCATTTAAAATTTTTACGCAATATAAACTGTACCGCTTTTTTCTTTCACTTGTTAACGAACCGGCGTTAAGTTGAAGCGAACTCCCCTGGTATCCTTGGAATGGCGAGGAACAAGAGGGACGAAAACAGATTAAAAAAAGCATTTATCATGGAAAAGTGAATTTTTCATGAATTTTAAAAGCTGAAATTTGTACAATCGTCAAGTTTCGAGATTTTTGACTATATATAATTCGTTCGTACGTATGAACGGAATATTGTGGGCATCATACCTAACCCTAATCGGTGTAAGCGATGACTTATTAATTAATGTGATGACCAGTTTCTTTGCCTTATAAGGTACTCCATCCCAAATCACTAACGAGCTTGACAGATTAGAAAAAGGACAATGAGTAGAAAAGCGTTCTTAATGAGGTTAAAGGTAAGACACTTGATAAGGCATACAAAACCCGGGGAAACATCAATAAATATTCCTTAATAAATTCAAAATAACTAGCCAATAAAACAAAGAATGATATTCGAATTCGGCCACAATTCCTCTAAAGATGAAGCCAAAAATTTAAATTCCACCAAAAACTTGCAACGGAAAAGTTGGAACTTCCCCGGCACGCTTCTTAATGTAGCCTTTAAAGAATATCGCGGCAAAATACTTGAATAAACTTGCATTCATCACGACCACAGGAAGGAACGTGGCATATTGAATGGTAACTAGGCAGATATTCAAATGCCCACCGACAGACACTCAAAAAGTTAAAAATGAATTGACACAGAAAGCTCTTGTATATCCAGAGTAAATTTATTCATGGCTTCGAAAAGTTTGTGCCCACCTTGAAGGCAAATTTTCCTCCGTCTAAAATAGAGTTCTATCGGTGGCAAGGAAGGTCTGTGCGACGTCACATTGATATTCAGAGTGACATAGACTTCAGCGCTCGCGGCTCCGGTACACGGAAGATGGAGTGTGAAAGTTGTTGGTTTGGTAGGCACGTTGCCCGACAATGAAATATTTAGGTAAGGGGGAGCCAGCACAACAGGACCCTTCCTCTCGTCGTTTTTGTCTTTCTTCTTCTGCTTCCGACTTGGTTTACTTTCATCCAAATGATCTTTGCTTTTGGAGTCTTGGGAGTCGTCCTTCTCACTGTCTTCTGTCTTCAGAGCGATGTTGTACTGCAACTGAAACGAAAGAAAATATACATTGGTTGTGGGCAAAGAAAGTGTGAATTTCTTCCAACATCATGCACTATGAAAAAAGTTAAATAATTTATGTATGGGAAAACAAAGAGACCGTAAACAATTTAAATTGCACTTATCACATAAAATACATAGAATTAAAAACACATCAAGTATGCACGGACTGACAGCTAATTCATCTATTAAGTGGCAAAATTATTATGTCAAATAGGTGGCAGGAAAAGATCCCAAAAAGTACAGCACGCACAACAATATTCACTAAAAAGTTCTGACGAACGGATCATTTTAATTAACGACTGGCTTACCCGCCTAGAAAAGTTGCAGAGTCAAGAACAAATTTAGTTGCTGGCGCCTTGGCAAGGCAATGAAGACGTCATGTTTGTCGGAGTCCCAGGAGAAAAGGACAGAAGAAGACTTTGATTTTGTGGACTAGCGGGCTACTCAGAGTCCCAAAGTTAGTTAAGGGAAAGTTAGGACAACCATTGCGCCAAGGATACGAGCCCTCGACATGAACGACAGTAGCAGCATACCAAGAGGTATGGTGGCCTCAAGTAACTTACGTACATTCCATGTAGTAAAGAAATACTCTAAATAAATCTTTACAACGCACGTCATAATTTAAAAGCAGAACTATTACAGTTAGAGCAAAATGCATTACCAGTGAAATGTATACGAAGATCGATTATCCTAATGTATTGCCCAAAAAGTAAAAACCGCCAGTCCTCAAGAACACAAACGTACGTTGGGTTTGGGTTTCATCATTTAATTATTTTTCAGTTATCGTAAATAATAAAATACTATTCTCAGTTTAATTGCAGCTATCACGTACATCTTACGACCGGCCAGGGAAGCCTCACACTTGAAAACTTGTGACAGATGAACATCACAACTTCGGCACTGATGAGATTACCTTAGAAATGTTATTAGGCTTCAGGTTCTGAAACTTGGAACGGCAAATGGAACTTAGTTTTTGGTTCAGCCTTCGCTTCAGTATTTTAAATGAATTCAGGCTGCAGGAAAGCTCAAAGAAGGTGAGCCGAAATTGGACAGAAAGTTTCAAGACGAGAAAAAAGTTTGAGCATCACGATTTTGTACGTTGTATAGAAAATACATCAATTGCTTTATAACCTCAATTTGTACTTGACTCTGATAAAAAGAAAAAAATTAATTCACAGAATTGACTTGAAGCGGGCGGATAAATCAACGTCAGTGGATGATGCAAACTGATATCGCACACGTTCATGACAGTAGTATAGCAATAATATACGTCATCGAGACAGTGGGGTAAATCCAACTATATCATTGAGCGCGTAAATTAATACACAGAAATCCATGCCAACAGCGGCACAATTAAGCCTCATAGTGAATGGCTTCTGTTTGCTCCTTAAAACTTGATCCCACAACGATCCTTTTCGACGATTCTCATTCAGGGCTCCTCTTAGATCACCCATTTCTGTGCATCAAATAATGGAGTCCCTCATCAAAGTTGACCCCTACCCCCCCCCCCCCAACATCTCTTCCAAGCTTCATTTCGTCAGCCCTCCGAGTTCATGAACTGAGAACAATCAAGTTTATTAATCAGACTCGTACATCGATTGACAGCCTTGAAAAAATTCGCGCGTTGTGAATAAAGTTGTGAAAGGTCTCATGGATGCTGCTTAATATTGAGAAATCATACAAAAAATAATTTGTGGGAACTTTACTACACGTGTACGTGCAAAAGTGAACTAATTATAGATTAGTTATTGTAATAGTAAAAAATACTACTACTAATGATATTAATAATAATAATTTACATCGCAGAACATTCACAGCTTGTTGCGGTCTTGGACACGCAACTCACTGCTTTAATTTTGTTTTGCTTAACCGCCCGGCCTTCTCGCCGATTCTGACCAAAACTGGCGCACAGAGCTGGTATCGAACCCGCACCTCTCTGCTCTAATCTTGGTATCCTGAACTTTAACCACTGGGTCAAATTATTCAAAATATTATCTTTAAAATTTTTGAGTTTGAAAACGATCTGCATATCTTCGAAGTGGAAATCAGAGCCTGGGACTGCTACGTCCGAAACAAGTACCAAGGGTACCAAGGACCAAGGATACATAATGTTATCCGTTAAGAATGTCTTCGAAATGTTGGTCCACCGAGTCAATAAAAAAAATAAACAAAACTCAGTGTATAATTCCCAAGTTACTTCCAACGTCAATTGGAAAATCTAGAACGAATTGTTAGAACTATTATAAAGAACTAATGAAGTTTGGAACATTTGCAGGCATGAATCGTAATTGCAAACACAGATAGCGTATCAGAACCATAGAGGGGACCCTTACACGCCCCTGCTGAAAGCTTCAGCTAACAAGGGGCCTTGACATCGCCATGAAAATTTGTCTCTCTTCAAACCTATAAGGATACAATGGACTTTCTTCGCCCCACACTTGGCTGTTATCACCAAAAGTTACACGCAAAAGTATCCTCATCATTCCAGGCAAATACCACGGGCGATTCCAGCGCATTGAGGCGCGTAAGGAGTCTCTGCGATAGCATCTTGGCTTCTAAATTGGCATCACGAGTCCTAAACTCGCGGGAGTCACGAACAGATTTATGGCTTTTGCTTCAAGTCCCTAGACTTCTTCACAAGCTGTCCATACACAGCGGCTTCTAATTTACGGAGGTGAAGCTCATTATTTTCTTGTGTTGGGCCCATACATGAAACATAAGGAGATAACAAAAGGGTCGACTAGATTATTTATCCTAGAAACCCAAGATATTTCGACACGGTTTACATCTTATGTTCGTCACAGGTAGTAAAAATTTATGTGAATCATTTTTAGAAGATAAGCTCAAATGCCTGAATTCAGGATATTCACCACCTTTCCCGAAATAAATTAGTAAGCATAATGAGAGCGGGAAAGAGATCTACGTAAGTGGATTGTTCAGGCTCGGAGCAATAAGTAAGGGAGACAGAAGGCAATATTTCGAGCGTGTCGAGTCTCTGGTTAGCTTTATTGCAAGTTGTGGCGGGCGCGTTAGCACCACATTGAGCTAATTAACGTCACTAAGCTCTGAGCCATCTTGTGACATGGGCACACTTAAGCCCACGCACGAGAAAGCTTGTAAACAAAGACACACTGAGTAGAATAAGTTAACTTATTAGAGAATGAATCTGAATGTTATGTAAGTTTATTTGACGCTGGTTAAGTCGTCAAATTTAATGCATTTATCAGTCAATAATAATTACTATTTTATAATTTCAAAATTGTGCTGTAAAGTGAAAGCATTATCGCTCTTGAACATTGGGCATCGGTATTTTCATGAGCTGTCGATAGCAATATTTTTTGTACTGAGTACAGACTCTTTTTTTCCCTTCAGTGGACGTGGTCGAATAAAAGCAAGGGCAGCAACAACGCAGAGCGCAAACTAAGCACAACAAGGCACCGTGTCACTGATAGACTACTGATAATCCCACACCATTGATGCCATGGTAAATATTGACTGTAGAAACTCAATTAAGCGACTATCGCGTCAATTTATGACCACAGCTCATGATTTTCTCCTTAAAAGAAGCTAATTGAATTGCTAACTGATACCATGGCGATGAATGTCCAGCCTTTCTCCTCAAGAAAAATTAATTAAGGAACCTGCTAACTCGCACACGCTCGAGGAACTCTCTTCTGCACCGAAAATTTATTATAATAACTACAGCAAGACTATTCTGGCGGTGGGAGTAATCTGAAATAATGGTTGATAAGCACGCGACATAATCGATGTTCTGCATGTGTATAATATCGCAGTTAATCAGCAGACTGCAATATAAGCGAATCGAGAGAACGCAACATGCAAGGTTCTTTTGCAATGCACGAGGCTGTGTATACATTGTGCGGGCTCTGTACAAAACCACTTAGCGTGGCCCAAAGTGATATTGTGTGATAGCTTTACCGCTCATATTTATCTCCACAAGAAACCGAGCGAAAAATATCTGAATAAAAAAGAATTTGTATTTAGAGTTCAACATTTTATAAAAGATTGTTAATTGTTTGACCAAATTATTTTCTAGCGCAAATCCATGCCATAACTGTCGTGAGCAAAGAAAAATATAACGAAATCTGTACAAATCTTGTAACACAATTAAGTATGATTCCAAAGCATGAAATAGATTAGCGTATTCCTATTTATATTGATGAACGGCTATACTAGCTGTTGTAATCCGTAACAAGTCGTTCAACTAACAAGTCGGAATCCTCGGGTAATTTTGCAGCCAGGATAAAATTACTATTCCGTATATAATATCAATACTTAGTTTTAAACAGATGTGTTAAAAACCGATGTGTGTTCAGTAAAGATTGTACCGTTCACACTTAATCCCAGCAAGAGCAATAACGCAAGAGTGTAGATAATCTCCCACAATGAAGGAATCTGTTGAATGTTTACGTAGGTTGTGGAGGCGGCCGCGAAATGTCGGCCCCAGCATTACACTAACAACCCCCAGGGGAGACTGTCGTAAAACATGTGCACGTCCTGAGCTAAATTTATGTAGAAGGAAGACCTAAATTTATATTGTACGAACAGAGCAAATAAGAAAAAATGTCTAACATTTGACAAAAAAAAAAATACGGTAAGCTTACGGCGCAGGGCAAACCAGCCGCCAACGGCTAAAACAAACAAAGCAAAAATCAAACAGCTTTATTCAGACAGGTAGATTTATTTAACCAAATTGATTTTATTATTCAGATAAATTCATTTTATCAGTGAGATTTATTTGCTCTGGTAAATTTCATTAATTAGACATATTTAATGACATAGGAAGATCAGGGTTGAAATCAAAGCCATGGTTTCCGTAGAATAATTTTAAAAATTACACACATTAACCACGGCTAATTTTTAAAGAAATATCCGAAAAATGGGAGACCTGAACCGTAGAGGATTCACAGTCTCAACAAAAATTAATTGAACTTCGAAAATAGTGAAAACAGAAAAAATGAAAG